GGGAGAGCTATAAAGTTTAAAGCACCGGGTCCTGCCTCCCTAAACAAGAGCTCGGTTTTAGCCACATTGCCTAACTCTCTGAGTCACAGTTTGCAGATTGTTAACATGGGGATAATCACTCCTGTCTCAGGTTTGTCATGAGGAGGAAATCTGAAAGCCTATATACACTATTACTGGTGTAATCAATGGCCACTGACTTAGTGGCTTAAAACAACATAAATGTATTACCTAATAACTCCGAAGGTCAGAAGTCAGAAGCCTGAAAGCCTCACCAGGCTAAAGTCAGTGTTGCCAGGGCTCCTTCTTCTGTGCAGGCTTTAGGGAAGAATCTGTCTCCTTATCTGTTCCAGCTCCTATAGGCAGCCCGCCCTCCATGGCTGGCGGCCCCTTCCCGCTTCAAAGCCACAGTAGCCGGCTCTCTCTCTGATTGCCTTATGCCGGCACCCTTCCTCTCTGCCTTCTCCTTCCACTTAGAAGGACCCTGTGGTTACACGGGCACACCCAGGTCACCCAGAATACTCTCCTGACTTCAAGGCCAGCTGATTAGCAACTTGAATGCCATCTGCAACGTTCATTCTTTTTTACACATCCTGAAGATTCACACATAAATGTCTTTGGATGGGGCATTGTTTTGGCAACCACATAAAGGCACAGTTCACTGCTGCTCTTACAGGGAGAAGTCAATAAAGGATGACTTTTAAAAAGTATTATTTCCCCAAGGGAGTCCTGTGCAAATNCTGCTGCTCTTACAGGGAGAAGTCAATAACGGATGACTTTTAAAAAGTATTATCTCCCCAAGGGAGTCCTGTGCAAATCTAGATCACTCACAATTTGCAGCACAAATCTGAAGTTTCCCACCCTGGCCTTAGCGTTCGTTCTCTGAGTGGAACTCATCCCCTCACCTCCTCCTCCACTGGCTCACTCTCCAAGGACTTGAGCTAAATGCTTCTTTCTTCATAATATATTTCTGAATGGCCCCAGCTGGAAGGAGGTGGCTCTAAGATGGCTGAAAGGATGATTGTAAATGAAATCATGAGGTCATTCTTGGAGATTTGCTTATGTTACTTACTGAATATGTACTGAATATTTACAAATTCTTCATCCCTAGAGGTTAGTTTTCTCATCTTTAAGAAGACAGTTATGGTAAATGCATCAGTGATTTCCTGAAAGAGTTAAATAATACCATGTGTGTCATGCATGACGTGGTTGACGGATTTATGACCTGGCAGAAAGTTCATGTCCAACAAGAGAGAATTACTAAAGAGGTTTAAGCATTCTATTTAATCGGACAGAGCTCAAATGCATAAAGGTAATTGAAACTTATTTCTTTCAACGTATTTCTGTCAAGGCATCTGAAGTTCTAAAGTATGAACAGCTCCTTGAAGAAAGATCCAGTAGCATCCAGTGTTTTTCAGGAATAAGAATTCAGACAGAGCTTTGGAACTGGTTATAAGAGGGGTTTGATATGTGTAACAAGGTGTAGAAACAAAGTTCACCTCTGGAGTTAGAGTCCTGGTGGCCCTTGGCTGGCCTCACTACTGTGGATAAGTAATTCAATATCAACAACGGCCCAGTGTTTTATTCGGTTGGCACTTGAGATGGTTTCTTTCACAGAATTTCCGAGGACCAAACATTGCATACGTGAAAGTTCCTAATAGGTCCTGGCGCAGCAGCGCTTCATAAATCTTGAGCATCAGTGTAACTGCTCCAAGCCCAGACTGATAGAAAAGTGGTGCAGAGCTTCTGGCCATGACCTGCCCACTTTCTGTTCAGAGAAGCCCCTGGAACGGCACAGTTGCTGCTGGTGGTGATAGTGGGGTTTGGTGGTGGTGGGATTCCTGTCTATAATGATGAAGTTGTTGACATGCATCAGTCTTTTATTAAAGAAATACTGAAAGCGTCATTTTGCATCTGTAGAAATCAGAGCTTGGCCAGTGTTGGCCCCAGGAGCTGGGCCCGCGCGTCTTTCCTTCTGTCCGCCTGTTGCTTTCTCGTCCCGCCGCGGCCGCGGTTGCTGCTGCTCGTTGCTTTCAGGATGACCCTTACTGTTGTCACGACCATTGATTTAGGAACCAGCAATTAAAATTTTAAAGTTGCTTTATTAAAATACACATTCTATCCAGGGAAACATCTAGCAATACACAGCCAACATTTCTTTTTTTCTTTCTTTTGTTTTTTTTTAATATATCTTTATTGATTTCAGAGCGAGGAAGGGAGAGGCAGAGAGGGAGTTAGAAACATCAATGATGAGAGTCAGNACATTTCTTTTTTTCTTTCTTTTGTTTTTTTTTAATATATCTTTATTGATTTCAGAGCGAGGAAGGGAGAGGGAGAGAGGGAGTTAGAAACATCAATGATGAGAGTCATGGATCGGCTGCCTCCTGCACCCCCCCGACTGGGCATGGAGCCCGCAACCCGGGCATGTGCCCTGACCGGGAATCGAACCCCGATCACCTGGATCCTAGGTCGACGCTCAACCGCTGAGCCGCCCCGGCCGGGCCACACAGCCCATNGAGCCCGCAACCCGGGCATGTGCCCTGACCGGGAATCGAACCCCGATCACCTGGATCCTAGGTCGACGCTCAACCGCTGAGCCACCCCGGCCGGGCCACACAGCCAACATTTCTGCACAGTGGGATCAGCCACTGCTGAGGAGCAGCTGCCTCCCGCAGACAGGGCGGGAACCTCCCACCCTGCCTCAGTCTCCCTCACACAGATGATGCTGTTCAAAGCTGTTGGTTACCTGCTTCCCTTGGGGATTTCTTGATGGTTTTAACTGTCTCTGTGTAATGAGCCATTGCTCCTAAGTAAAGGGTTAGGTTCCTGAGAGCCTCTGGCCATAACATTTTTGTCAATTTTGTTTTAGATGTGTTTCTACATTATATGTGTGTGTGTGTATGTGCATATGTGTGTGTGTGTGTATATGTGTGCACATGTGTATATATATTTGATTCATTAACATGGCCAGTCGCACTGAAACTCATACCTGATCAAAGCAAGCAGGAAGATTCACAAATATGTAAATATGTTTACAAATATGTAAATCAAGAGGATCCATCACATGTGACTTGCAAACATTTTCTCTCACTCTGTGGTTTGTCTTTTCATACTATTAATAGAACATTTTGCAGAAGAAAAGTTTTTAATTCTGGTGACGTTGAATTGATCAGTTTTTAAATTTCTGCATCATGTTTTAGTGACAAGTTTAAGAACTCTTTGCTTAGCTCTAGGTTTCAAAGATTTCTTCTATTTTCCCCCCAAAAGTTTTATAGTTCTACCTTCTGCATTTGAGTCTATGATCCTGTTTGAGCTAATTTTTGTCCAAGGTGTGAGCTTTAGGTGGAGTGTTTGGTTTGGGTTTTGCCAGGGTGCCCAGTTCCTTCAGGACCGTTTGTTGAAAAGGCTGCCTTTCCTTCACTGGGTTGCCTTTGAGCCCTTGTGGAAAACCACTTGGGCATTCCTGTTCTCTTGTTCTTGCTGCGTGGGGTAGAGGACCCAGCTGCCCACACGCTCTCCACTTAACCCAGGGCAGGTGGGATTCTCACCAACACCCATGAGTAGCGAGCAGTTTCCTTGGAGAGACCTTTGCTTGCCGGGGGGGAAGCTTGGCCACAGTGGGCATCTCACTTGGCCTTCGATGGTGGGAGTGGAGGCGATGAACTGCTGTTCCTTCAGCAGTTTCTGTCTTGCGAGGCTGCCCCTTTCCCCGTCCTTTATCTAGAGAACACAGGCTTTCGTTGGGGATTTTTTCTTGTCTGCAGCTGTTAGCATTTCTGGGCGGCTGGCTGCTCCCTGGAAGACCTGAGGCAATGAGAACATGCAGGAGCTCACGGTCACCGTCACTGTCCCACCTCGGACCAGAAGTCCCCAGCCTGTCTGCTCCCTTTTCCATCTTGAAGAAGCTTTTTTTGTTTGTTTCATATATTCTGCCTAAAGTTTTTAGTTGTACTTAGTGGGCAGAATAAGAAACAGTGTGTCTACACAATCTTTCCTGGAGCAGAAGTTATGACTGTCCCCTTTTAAAAAAATGTTCATATTACAGATACAAAACCAAGTTCAGAGAAGTTGTGTGATGTGCTCAAAGTCACACAGCTCTCCGAGGATGTGACCCAAGCTACAAGAACCCGGTGCCAGTGCTCTTGGCTCTGAGTGTCCTCAGTTCGCCACGTGCTCATAGCCACGAGATGTCAACAGAAACATCCCACGAGTGTATTCACAGTGCAGTGAAGGCTACGGGGGACGGCCCCGCCACGGGCTCAGTGAGCCGTGGGAGGCTGCTGTGTCCCTGGCCCATTTCTCCCTCTCTCACTCTGTTTTATTCACAGCTTGTTTCATAATCAGTGAGGGGGGGGACATTATGTTGCCAGAAATCTTCCCAAGTGTGTGCCAGGAAACAGGTCATCAACCACACGGCACGGAGCTTCAGAAGGTGCTTCTGGACCTGCACACGAGAGGGCTGGCCTGGGGGCTTCCTGATAACATGGGCTCCCACATGGTGCCATGAGAGGGTGGATTTGGGGACGGGCATGCCAGATTGAAAGTGGGGCACAGTGTTTGGCAATAACCCAGAATTAGCAACTCCGCCTCTGGGCTTCTAAAAGAAGTGTTTGTCCGTGTGGCAACAAGATAGCAACTCAGTTTCTGTGTGTTCCCCATGGTGCCTGACAGCTCCACACAGAATGATGGGCTTTTCTGATTAAAGAAAAAACCACACTCCGTCATGGTCTGTGCATGTGGCCCGTCCGTTTCATTTTCCCGCACCCATCACCACCAACCTTGTATGTGCTCCTCTGATCACGAGTGAACTCAGCTTCCTGTCTCCAGGTTGGCCGCCCCGTCCCTCTCCCACTGTTAATGCTGGTAGACGAGTCTCTTTGACACCCGGTGGTCATGCATGCTGTCTAGAAACGCCCATGGTTCCCTATGACCTTTGGGTTTAAGCCTAGGTATTTTTAGAAGAAGCCAACATTAAGCAGTGTGACCTTCTGCTCTTTTCTTAGGTATTACCAGATCCGAGTGACCTTGAAGGTGTCCTCAAGGATCCCCCACAGACTGAGCGCCTCCGTCGTTGGGCAGACAGGTGAGCGGGAGGATGGTGGTGGGTCCTGTGCCCACTGGTAGGCCTCCGAGGATCACTGTGTGCAGGGCTCAGCACTATAAGGCACATGGAGACACGGGGCGAATCACTGCTGAAGGCTGGTGAGTGCGTTTTGGAAACGGAGACCCACAGCTGGTGTGGCCGCGTGTGCACATTGCTGCACGGGGAACCCGGCCGAAGGGACACTCTCCCAGGGCGCCTGGCCTGGGGGATGAAGCTGGCCGTGGGCATGCTGGCTCAAGGCAAGTCCGGGAGGAGAGGAGGAAGCATCTAGCAGTTGGTGAGAGGAAGCTTGTCACTGAGAACTTGATGCTCAGCCAGGTACAGGGACTGAATACGTAGGGTGTAGTGGTGGCACTTTCCTTCCTCAGTGACAAGTCAGAGCCACCCTTCCAGCTTGGGGAGAAGATCACCAAAACAATGTTGGCTCGAACTTGGGGAGGCTGGAGTATTGGCGGGTGTCAGGGCGCCCGGCAGGTATTTGGTGAGTAGGGTTTTGAGTCAGAAATAAAGACCTCATTCCGTAAACAATGTGGTATGGGCACTGGGATTATATTCTAGTAGAATATTCACATTAGTAAATTTGGGGGAATGTGTAGGTCAGCCAGACCTGGAGGAGGAGACACATTTAGGGATGGAGGAGAGAGAAAGTAAGGAGATAAAAAGACAGAGCTACAGGGACTCTGTTTTGCTTTAACTGTACAAGTGAAACTGGCCAAAAATATTACAGAAATCAAATCCAGTAGAAATAAGAGTTCTGGTCATAACTACCCTTCAAAAAGTTTGTTTGAGATTCGCTTGGCTAGTAAACTAGTCCATTATTGGCAATAGTCTTATGATGAGTAAAATTGCATGCAGTTAATTGAATACCCACAATTGGGAGTGTGCATGCCCTGGTCTGCTCAGCTCCACCTTGAAGGAGGCGTGGGAGGTGGGGGGAGGGGGTACTTAGGTCACTCAGAGGACATCAAGGGAACAACTGTGGTTTACGGGCCTCAGGTTGACTTGAGCCAGTGATCTAGGAAGAGAAAGATGCTGGAGCCCACCTGCTCCTGCAGACTCTGGGCAGAGCTAACACTGGGTAGCAGCCCAGTTGCCACACTCCCAAGGTGTTTCTTCCACTCTACTCCTCTCTCTGGGGAAGAAGCCAGGCCTCTGAGACCCCGAGTCACTCACTCTCCCGTGGGCTGTGTGCATTCAGGAAGCAGCACTCCCGCTGCTGTGGCCTGTGCCATTCCCCCTCCGCAGCCCGGTTCCTGCCAGAACTTGACTGAGCGGAGGGGATCTGAACCCTGACATTCGTGAACATGTTGTGCGGCCTCAGGCAGGGGCAACTGCGAGTTTCCTTTCATCACCAGAAGAAAGAAGATAGAGACCCATCCTCTGCAGGGCTCCCGTCTTAGTGCTTATCAACCATAAGGGTGTTTTGCGTTTCGCATTTCACAGAGATTGTAAATATAAGGGAGCCAGGACAGGAACTCGCCCAAAGTAAGGGATGGATCAGGCTGGCCTGTGAGTGCCCCTGTGATCAGGGCTGCGAGGCCAGCAGGTCCTGTGCTCTTGGACAGGACGCAGACTCAGGGTTGATGCCTGGAAGTCAGGTGGGACTAGCCCTGCACTGACCTGATGGAAGCCATCCCCAGGTTGACAAGGGCTCCAATACCCTGTGACTGTAGAGCGAGAGCTCGGTTCCCATCGCTGGCTGAGGCCCCTCTGGGAGCTGACAGCCTCCCCCTTTGAGGAGCAGCTGACTGTGGGGCACAGAACAGCTGGAGGGGTCCAGCGTGTGGCATGGAAGAGGGGAATGGAACCGCCCAGAGACAAAGAAGAGAGAAATGACGTGAAATTGGGGGGG